TTTTCGTTAAATGAACATTCGATACATACGAAGTTATAATACAAATTAGAGAATGCAAAGAATAAATATTAATAAGAGACATTTTTTTTTTAATCATATGTATTAATTAATATAATAAATACAAATATCTCGGATGCTTACACATGCTAAAAGCATATAATGTAAGCAGTTAAAATACCAATGCTTCCTTAGGTTGAAGAAAAAAAGAGAATAATTTCCTTTTTTTATTTTCCTATATTTAATTTTGTAAAGTTAAATATTTCCACAGTGTTTCTCATTATTATTTACTAATAAATTTCTGTTACCCTATTACTTGTGTTCTCCCCCCCCCCCACACACACCCCTAAGAAAGATGACCATTTTTCTTCTTTTTTTTTTTTTAGTATCACAACTATTATAATCTTTTTTCATTTAAAACTTTGTTATCATAATTAGAGAACTGTATTGCAAGGTACTATGCTGAGATGCTCAGAAAGTAGTGTGTGGCATGGTGATTATTTTTTAAATATATAATCTGTTGTTCAAATGAAATTTATTTTGTTTCAATAAAAGGTTTGCTGTTTTTCTTTTTCTACATTTTCTTATACTTTTTACACGACGTGTTAGTAAATTAAAAATACTTCTTGCATACCTCTATACTTCTTCTTCCTTTTCTTTATCCACTGTACAAATCTTTATTTTACTTTTTATATACTTAAAATCAGCTGCAACAATGCCTATTAAATTAAACTGTAAAATTAAACGTTATTCTTCTTTGAATTATTTGAAACAGTTATTATCCTCGATTTAATCTGGTCTCTGGAACTTTAGATCCTTTTTTTTTGTTTTCAAAATAGTTTTACGCGTCGAGATAATTTTGAATAATTAAGCCAAACTTTTTCCCAAATTGTATACGGTGCAAAGTTTAAATCTATCACGATGATGATAATAATAACGCACTGTCGCCGATTTGTTTTTTTTGTTCTTTTTTTTTTTTTGTTTTTTCTTTTTTTTTTTTTTTTTTTAAATTCTTTTTTTTTTTTAGCAAAATCTAGAAATAAC